AATGGTCTTCACAGCTGTCTGGATTTTCTACCCAGATATTATAGCCACCACTAAATCACAAAGTCAGTGATGAGAGATTGCCACTTGCATAAAAACAAATTTCTATGATGTTTCACACACTGAGTGTGTGCTCACATCTATGCATGTACATACCAAGAATATTAAATAAAAATTAGTTAATGTGAAACAAAATAATGTCAGCCTCCAGCAAAACCCGCTCGGCATATAATGCCACTTTATACATTTCCTCACGAAGAGTATAAATGCAGAAAATCTCTAGTATCTCAAAAAACAAAAAACCATCAAAAAACAAGGGAAATATTTTTCTCTATGAAATCCTAGGACACTTCCAGTGAATGTTGACAGTAATTAGGTAAATGGATTAGTGATCTGATTCAGTGTAAGGCAGGATCCTATGCATTTATAATACAGAGTTCAATATCCTGGAGGAGGAACTGTCCTAAAAGCAGAACACATGTACAATCAGTTGCTTTTTTTGTGGACAAATCACAAATAAAAAATCCACTTTTTTAACTGAGAGCAGGTTTAAGGAAGTTGTTCTACTAGTTTTACTAGGGGACCTAGAAATTTCAAGAGAGACAGTTTTAATCAAATATACAAATAATGAAATCCATAAAACTGAAACATGTAAAATTCAAAATACTTATTTTGATATTATGTGCCAGAACAAAGACACTGAACAGTTTCCTTCTCACTAAGTGCAATTACCAGAATTGTTACACATTTTTAAACTTTTGCGTGATCTTTTGTAAAATATTTGTACAAAAACACAAAGTTTTATACTACTTTCAGTAGATAAACTAGTTTCTTGCAGACACTACAATGTTTTCTATACAAACCAGACTGTTCTCTGAGCACAATGACATTTCCTAAAAGATGATATGAAATGAAAAGAAAATGCATGGAAAACTTCCTCATCGGGTGTTTCCTTGAGCTGCGGTGGTGCAATGGGTTAAACCCTTGTGCTGACTGAACTGCTGACATGAAGGTTGGGTTGCTGACCTGAAGGTTTCCAGTTTGAATCCTCGGGAGGGGCTGAACTCCCGTCTGTCAGCTCCAGCTTGCAGGGACATGAGAGAAGCCCCCCCAGCTAACACATCTAGACATCCCCTGGGCAACGTCTCTGTAGACAGCCAAATCTCTCACACCAAAAGTGACTTGTAGAACGTTCTCAAGTCGCTTCTGACATGATTTTTAAAAGTCTGCCAAGACACTGTTTCTCAATATAAATGAGAGATTAGCAGTTGTTCTTAATGTCCCTGGTGGATATATTTTCTTCATGGCATGTGCTCTTAATAGTGGTATAATTTCCTGCTCTAATATAAAAGTTGGATTCTTCCCCATACCGCATGTAACTGTCTGGAGGCATTATTCATATAAAGCACTGTGATCTCTGTAGAGCTATTTATGGACTTTATTACTGGTCATGTGGATGGAACTCTCTGGAAAACAAAATTCAAAAAGTGCCTTTTCCAAAGACTGCATTTTATGGAGTATTGTGCAGAAATTTTCCAAAAGAAAAATCCACATCAGATAAATGTGCGAAGTATTCCCTAACCCTCAAGTCCTCCTCTTCCTCCATTAGCTTGGATAAAGTAGCCAGAGAGAGTAATAAAAGCAAATACAAGAGCGTACTTAAAGAAATGAATGAGGTACACGTAAGTGTGTCATAATTCAAAATCTTCATCTTGTCTAACTTGTTTCCTGCCACTTGTATGGGACCCCATCATCTTTAGTCAACATTTTCAGTATACCATCCAGTATATTTCAAAGAACACCAGATGGACAGAATCTGAAACAGTTAGGTACATAAAAGTGAAAATGTTAGTAGCAACAGGTTTTCTAGTGTGGAGAGCTCTTCACATTCATGTACTCTTGAGGCTTGAAAAGGCACACTTTGGACACTCTTCATAACTCCAAGGGGCAGATGAGTGGATTCCTTATTTGGTCTAGACTTTCCAAGTGAGAGGAATGAATTCTCATGACAGTGTTCTTTTCCCTTCTTCCCTTCTCTTTCAGAGTTCCCCCTGAATCACACTGATGCTGGAAAAGGTGTAATGTGTAAAATATGTTTCTATGCCAACACAATACAAAATACATACGATTTCTCCTCCAAATTATTAGATATTTGTACTCGAGCTTCTCTCCATATGCATACAGCTTTCTGTTCAGGATAAAAGATTAATTGTTAATCAAGCACCCAAATTGCCTATTAACAAGTTTTTTTTGTTGAAACAAAGAAATGTTACTGGCAATACAATGTGGATGTTAAAAGTGCTCCATTTTAGGACTTGGACAAGGCACCACTGCAAATGATTCAATTATTCATACTTCTATTTAATAAGAACATATTTCCCTTTGAATGTTCTTGAATAGCAATGACTGAGCCAAATGTTAAATGCAAAAAAAAGTGATTTCTCTTCCCTTCCTTCAGCCTTTCATACACCTTTGGAAACTCTGATTTTTTGTTATGAACATTGTGTCAAGCAACCTTGCATTATTGCAGTAAGTAACACAATATGACACTTCTCTGGTTTATTGAAGAGGATCAATTCAATCTTTCCATCCCAGAGTATAACTCTGCACATGGACTATGGCCATTAACTGTGAAGTTAAAGCACCTTCCCCACATGCAATATTGTAGCCTACATGACTAAAACATATAAGTTCATTGCTATATTTGGCTGGGTTTTCAAAGAAAGGCAAAAGTGCAGAAAGAAATACACTGAAGAACATGGATCAAATCCTGTCTCCCCTCTGTTTACTTGCAGAACTTCATTTTCACCAGAATTTTACCACCTTTAGTGCCACTTGAGACTCCATTTCACAACAGGTAGGTTATGTTTAGAAAGTTAGAATAGTGTAATGGTTTGGGTGAATGTTTGGGTGAGCTCCTGCTGTTAGCCCCAACTTCTGCCAACCTAGCCGTTAAAAACATGCAAATGAGGGTAGATCAATAGGTACCGCTTTGGTGGAAAGGTAACAGCAATCAATGCAGTCATGCCAGCAACATGACCTAGGAGGCATCTATGGACAACGCCGGCTCTTCGGCTTAGAATGGAGATGAGAACCACCCTCTAGAGTCGGGCATGACTAGACAATGTCAGGGGAAACTTTTACCTTTACTTACATGACTAAAACATGGAGCCCCCAGTGGCGCAGTGGGTTAAACCCCTGTGCCAGCAGGACTGAAGACCAACAGGTCGCAGGTTCGAATCCAGGGAGAGGCGGATGAGCTCCCTCTATCAGCTCCAGCTCCTTATATGGGGACATGAGAGAAGCCTCCCACGAGGATGATAAAAACATCAAATCATCCGGGCGTCCCCTGGGCAACGTCCTTGCAGACAGCCAATTCTCTCACACCAGAAGCGACTTGCAGTTTCTCAAGTCACTCCTGACACAACAAAAAAAATGACTAAAACATTTAAGTTCATTGCTATATTTGGTTGTGGGGTTTTCAAAGAAAGGGAAAAGTGCAGAAAGAGCTACACTGAAGAACATGGATCAAATCCTGTCTCCCCTCTGTTTACTTGCAGAACTTCCAAGAACTTCGGGTTGTTGTAGGCTTTTCGGGCTGTATGGCCATGTTCTAGAAGCATTCTCTCCTAACGTTTTGCCTGCATCTATGGCAGGCATCCTCAGCAATAGTGAGATATGAGGATGCCTGCCATAGATGGAGGCAAAACATCAGGAGAGAATGCTTCTAGAACATGGCCATACAGCCTGAAAAACCTACAACAACCCAGTGATTCCGGCCATGAAAGCCTTTGACAATACATTCCAAGAACTTCATTTTCACCAGAATTTTACCACTTTTAGTGCCACTTGAGGCTCCATTTCACAACAGGTAGGTTATGCTTAGAAAATAAGCATGGTGTAATGCTTTGGTTATTGGACTACAACTCTGGAGACCAGGGGTCAAATCTCAGCTCAGCCATGGAAACCCACCGGGGGAGCGGATACAAGTTGTACTATCTCATCTTTAGAAGACGGCAAAGGTAAACCCCCCCGGATTAAACAAATCTTGCCAAGAAACTTCATCTGAGTGTCACCATAAGTCTGAAATGCCTTGAAGGCACACAACAAACCTCCATAAACACACACTAATAATTATTTTACATGAACACAGTAAGGGTGCAAGTCAATAAACAACCCCCCCCCCCCACGCTTGAATAGGAAAGCCTCCATACTTTTGACTCATTTCAGTGGTTCACCATATGGACCAAATTTTGCGTAAAGTGGCCAGACGTTGTAAATGTTAACTACAAACCACTGAACTCTTTGCTGAGAGGTCACCTGAGCATGCCACTCTCCTCACAGCCATCTGTCTGATTAATTAAGAATTCCGGGCTGCAATTCCAATGTGATTTAATGACTAGATTTCCTCACAAATCCTGTGATGAAGGGGGGGGGGGGGAAGTATCCTCTCCCCTTTGATAGTTTCCATCTGTCTCCTCTTCCCTACAAACATTCCCTGTGTGTGTAAGGGAGTGTAAAACCTAAATAGACTGAGCGGAATTCCTTTCCAAATAGTCACCCACAGGAGAACACCCTTTCCACGTCTGAAGCGGCGAGGCTGAATTGTGGCTGAAGGATGGAACAAAAGAGGGTGTAGCAGCCGCAAAGAGGCGAGCGAGCGAGCGAGGGGTCCTCTTTGGGGGAGGCAAGGGGTGCCTTATTTGGGGGGAAGGCAGCCTTTTTCTAACAGAAACCCATGGCAAGGGCCCCTTCCCCCCTTTTCTTGACAAGTCCTTGTGTGTGCCCTGCCTCCCTAGATGGATACTGACATATCCTGGAAGAACAAAGAGTTGCGTCTCTCAGCTGCTGGGATTCCCAGAGCGCGCGGCAGTGGCTGCTCTCATCCTCTGAAGAAGCCAGGCAGCAGGCATTTCCTTGCGGGGGGGAAAGGGTGGGGGGGGGGGCGACACGGGCAGGCATTAGGGAAAGCCCTCGCTTTCTCCGACTTCAGGGCGAATTACCTGGAGCAGGTGAGGCGGGCTCCCCGGTGCTCTCCTCCGCCTCTGGAGCGTCTCCCTCTCGCTCTCTCCTTTGGCTCAGCCGCGCAGCGCTTCCTCCTCCGCCCTCCGCCTTCGGAGCGGGGCTCTGGCTGGGGAAAGAGCCATGAAGGGGGAGAAGGCAGGAAGGGAAGAAGGAAGGAAGGAAGGAAGGAAGGAAGGAAGAAGGAGGGAGGCGGAAAGCCAGCCACAGCGCCTGGGCAGAGCCACGGGGAAGAAGAAGAAGAAGAAGGAGGAGGAGGAGGTGGGGAAGAGGGTCGGGCTTCCTGCCTTCAGCCCAAGTCCTGCTGCGCCGCCCCCTCGCCGCCAGATGTGGCCGCCCCCAGCGAGCCCTTCGCCAAGGCAGCGGTGCCATTGGGGCGGGGAAGCCTCTCCCTCTCCGCCTGCCCCCCTCCCTCCCTCCCTCCTCCCTCCCTCCCTTCCCTGGGGGCGGGGCCACGTGMCTTCAGGGAGGCGCCTCTCACAAGCTCCCGGGAAAGTTTGCCCAGGGATCCCAGCCTTTGGAGCTCTGCCCCCCGCCCCCCATGTGAGAAAKACACCCTCCCAGCTTCGAGCCTTTAGTCGAGAGCTCAACCATTGGCGCCTTTATTGGGGGGGGGGGGAGAGGGCTCAAGGGGAGGGAAAAGAAGCCCGCCCTTCTTTTGCCGCCTTCCACGCCCGGAGTCTTCAGGGAGGCGCCTCTCACAAGCTCCAAAGAAAGTTTGCCCAGGGATCCCAGAGGGCAGCCTTCAGAGCTCTCCCCGCTCCCATGTTAGAAATACACACCTCCCCGGCTTCGAGCCTCGCTTGGTTACAAGCCCACTAGCCGAGGGCGCAACCACCAGCACCTTGTTGGAGGGGGGGGGGAGTGAAAGGAAGCCCGCCTTTTTTGCCGCCTTCTACGCTCAGCTCCTCCTGTGAAAGGCGGCTGTTTCCTTCCTTCGTGCGTGGCCTGAGACATTTCCCAGGCAGGTTGGAGTGACCCAAGAAGGTCAGAAGCTCCTGAACTGCAGACCGTGTCTCTCCCCAGAAGTCTTTTCGCTCGCCAAGCCTCCCTCCTCCTCCCCCTCAGGCTTGGGAGAAAGGAGCGCCTCTCTCTCTTGACTGCCCTTCATCCTGGACAGGGATCTCCAGTGACGTGGAAGCGCCTTTTTAGACGCCGTGGTTTCCTCAAGAAGGCGAGGGGCGCGGCGGCTGCCCGGCTGCCCTGATTCATATGCTTCAGTGGGAACTTTCCCTTTGAGCAGCTCGAGGTCCTTTGAAGCCCTTCCCCAGGTAAATGTGTGGAGGGAGGAATCCCCGCTGAAGTCCCCGCTGAGGGGGAGCAGGGGAAGCGCTGGGTTCCCCATCCGCCTTGGAAACGGAGAGCATCCCGCCCCAAGAGGCCGCGCTGGGAATGAGGACGGGCCAAGCCACCCGCCCCTTCCCGCCCCTGGAAAGGCCCCTGAATTCGCCCCACAGGGACACCGCTGGCACAAAGTTTGTTGGTTTGTTGAGAATATTTATCCCCCTGCTGTCAGGCACAAAGGCTCTCTGAACATCTTACACATTCTTGGCAATTCCCAGCCCTCAGGCTCGCAATCTGAGACATGACACTCAACTAAAAGTGGACAATACTGGGGAAGGATTGGACTATTTCTGTCCCTTTCCTTTTGCTTCAGCTCTGTCCTTAATTGTTGGAATCGTTTCATCAGTCGGGCATGAAGGCATCGCTTTTTTGCTTGTTACTGTTCGTGCCTTCATGCCAGGCGTGTAGCGGGGGGGGGGGGGGGGGGGGGGGGGGGGGGGGGGGGGGGGGGGGGCTTGAGGGGCTTCACCCCCCCCCCCCCGAAATTCTCATGGTGGTTCGCGAAAAGGCCTTACTGGTGCATTATTTAAACTGTTATGTTTATTCATATCATGATCTGATCACCATACTCAATATATCCCATATGCATGGGGGTATTGGGGTAATGATACAAAAGGTTTGCTAGGGTAGACCCTCTTTCACTCAGACTCAGCCCCCCCCCCCGAAACTCAGCCCCCCCGAAACCCCCCCTGAAAAAATTCAGCCCCCCCCCCCGAAACGAAATCCTGGCTACGGGCCTGCTTCATGCATTCCTTCCTAACAGTCCAAACTACTGGCTCCTAGTCAATCAAGCTTAACAGTGAAAATGTATTTTTCACAATATCTCTAAATTCTACAATATCTCTAAATTCTTCAGGTTGCATTTCAACATGGTGGTTGATCTAGCATTATTTTATAGCTGTAATTATTGTATGAGGTAGTTATGATCTATACCACAATCTGTCCCTATTCTTGTTTTTTTCACTATCTTCCACTGCCAATTTGACTATTTGACTTTTGTATTTGGCTATCAAATGATGTCTATTTATACAGTCACTTCTTGGGTTGCTTGGAGAATGTGTTTGCAATACACAAAGTGTTGGCATTGCAAAATTGATAGGTGATGTCTTTACGTTGGATCTAATAATAATAATAATAATAATAAACTTTATTTATATCCCGCCACCATCTCCCCAATGGGGATTCGGGGAGGCAAACATAACAGAAAATAAATACAGCAAATACATAATGCATCAAAATAAAATAAAATAAACAGTGCAAGAACATAATAAAACCAGTCTCAAAGGGCGGGCCAGATGAACAACATACATGCTAAAAACACTAAAAACATTAAAAACCCTGGGTGAGATTGGAAGTAAAAGGTATACTTGTAATGGAAGGAGTCCGAGACAGGGGAGCGGTAGGGCAAGGACTTCATTGGGGGTAGGAGAAAGTGCATCGTGTGAACCAGGGGTCTAAAAACTTTTTTTAACAGAGGGCCAGGTCACAGTCCCTCAAACTGTTGGGGGGCCAGATAATAATTTGAAAAAAACATGAATGAATTCCTATGTACACTGCATGTATCTTATTTGTAATGCAAAAAAACACTTAAAAACAATACAATAATTAAAATGAAGAACAATTTTAACAAATATAAATTTATTAGTATTTCAATGGGAAGTGTGGGCCTGCTTTTGGCTGATGAGATAGGATTGTTGTTGTTGTTGGGTGCTTTCAAGTCATTAAAGACTTAGGTTGACCCTAAGCGAGGGCCGGGTAAATGACCTTGGGGGGCCACATTCGGCCCCCGGGCCTTAGTTTGAGGACCCCTGGTGTAAACAAACTGTAGGTGGAGACTTACAAAAATGGGTTGGGTGGTCACTCTCCAAAGGCCAAGTTTTTAGCTCTTTCTTAAAAGCTGCTAGGGTGGGGGCTTGCCTAATCTCATCTGGTAGTAAGTTCCAAAGTTGGGGGCCACAGCGGAGAAGGCTCTCTCCCTCGTACCCATTAGCCGAGCCTGTGATGGGGAAGAGGCGAAAGGAGGGCCTCTCCAGAAGATCAAAGGGATCCTGCGGGTTTATGGTAGGATCGTAAGTGAGGCCTTCAAGTGTTCACCACAAACACTCAGTGTGATGGTTTCCTCCAGTTGCTTGTAAGGACTTTTTGTTGTCTCCCTTCTATAACACAAAGTGTGTTGGCAGTCTAAATGCCCATAAGGTTCTTACAAAGATTTATGTTACTTGTATGCCCAACAAGATACCTACCTTCATTGCTGTTGCCACAGACATCTTTTGTGACACCTCTCAGGATCATGGAATTCCAAAGGCCAGAGGTGTTTAAAAAGAGAACTATATATGTTAAATATAAAACAGTATATATAATAAAAGTGAATGTTTGTTTGTATGCGGAGGGCAGAAGTGGGGAAGGGCGGAAGTGTATGTGGCAGCTTTCTGAGTATGTGGCAGCTTTCTGATTGGCTGCCACTTTCACAGGCCACTGTGACCAACATGGGTGACGCACCTGGACCAAACTTGGCACACATAACCCCCATGAACCCCTTTACATCCTGGTGTGGTTTGGGGGAGGTGGACCATGGATTATGGGATCTGTAGTACTTTCAAATGGTGTGGTTCCCAGGGACCACTGTGGCCCCCAACAAAGACCCGAGACCGCTGCGAACCTCATCCAATGACTAATCAAGATCAAACTTGGCACACAGAGCCCCCATGAGCCACTCTACAACCTAGTGCAGTTTGGAGGAGGATGGACTTTGGATAATGGGACTTGCAGTACCTTCACTCACTTTGGATAATGGGACTTCAAGTACCTTCACTCACTTCCTGAAAACAATGCAACCATCATCCAATGATCAATAAAGACCAAACTTGGCATACAGAACCACCATTACCCACTTTCTCTAATAACCCGGGCAGCGTCGGGTCCCCAAGCTAGTAGTTTATATATAATATTTGAAATATTCTTTCCTCCCCAAGCCCTTCTTAACCAATAAGAACAGGAATGTGCCTAAGACTGCACAAAGCCGCTTCTTCTATTACACTGAAATTTCTAGTCAATTCTATTCCAAAAAAAAATCTCACTGATATCTACACCAGCAAAATTATCCAGCTCACCACCAGAGTATTCTGCCCCATAATTGCCTTGGATCTCCACCCCTTAGTGTTACATCGCCACACTGACATTATATTGAGGACTACACATTTCCCCTTTCAAAATTCAGATCAGTACAGGTTTTTTTCTCCCTTTCCTTGGGGAAGCCACCCAGCTAATTCTTGCCATGAAGGAGACAAATGGTGGGGAAGCAGATCCAGCCCTTTACCATTAAAAAGCTGAAATAAATTGTGTCTTTCTCCTTGGAGACATTGAAGAACCACCACTGTCTTTTCTGCCATGCATCTCCCTGGCATAGCTCTTCTTGTGAAGTCTCTTGCTCTGAGGTCAGCACAAGGTATCTAGGCAATGGTGAGGGGATAACCTGATTAACCCCTTCAGTGTTGATCTCATGGCTGAGTGCTTTGCTCTGACCATAGAGCAAGAGATTTCACAAGGCACTTGAGGCACTTGACAGAGAAGGCAGTGGCATTGTCCTGACACAAGGAGGAAGACACAGTGAGTTAGTTTTTAAAATGCTTTAAAGTCTAAAACAAGTTCTTCCTCTGTTAAAGTAGACATACACCATGTGTTCCTCAGCACAAGAATATATATGGGTATGAATTTATTTCTGGTTTAGACAACCCCTGTACGTGTTTATCTGAAGAGAAAAACAGAAATAATAATCTCTTTCTAGTAAATACTGGTCCTTTTTGTGTGGCTGTATATAACGCACAATGCACA